CCATCTCATCAATTTCCTCTTCCAACAGCTCGCAGAAGAGGTTGGTTTTGTGGTTGAAATAGGAAGGCAGGACCCCTTTCTCCAGGTAGCCTACCAGCTCCTCAAGCACCTGCTGGAACCTGTCAGCAAGGCTTTCTTCTGCCCAGTCCGAACTGGTGGCACTGAGGTGAAGGACGACGTGGGTCAAGGGGCTGCCACTCAGTTTGTGCAGGGCAGGATGGCTCTTGCAGACGCCGTTGAGAACGCGGAGGCAGTGCTGCCGAGCCCCAGAGTCACCAGCATCCAGCTCCTTCACCTTCGAGACCTCTGCCCTGTAAAAGCTCTCAAGCCAGAGGTTTTCCACCAGTCCTTCAGGAGGAGCAGCCAGAAGAACTTTGTCCTCCATTTCCACCACTGGGAAGAGGGTGATCCTCAGCTCGATCTGATTGTGTTTGACTTCCAGCTTCAGGTCCTGGGAAGCCACGACCGGGTAGATGATGCTTCCCAGCAGGCTGCCGATGGCAGGCCAGTTGATGGACCTCACCAGCATCTTGTGGAGGGTCTCGTTGAGTGCATTAGAGGAGAGGTACTGGCCCACAATGAACCTGTCCCAGGGGCTGCACCCACGAGGGAAATACTCCAGATCAGTCCTCTTGATCATCCAGTACTGAGGGTTCCTCACCACGGTGTCCTCTCCTGGGATGAGGCTCCAGAGCGTGGTGTCAAGGATCACCGGCAGCATGAGGTGGACGTGGTCGGCTGTGAGAGCCCCGAGGCCATCGAGCAGGGGACCGCTGAGGAAGAGGCTGCCAAAAGGCAGCTCTGGGCACTTGCTCCGCAGGAAGTTCTGCAGTTGGGCACAGATGCTCCTGGCCAGCTGCAGGGCGAGGGACACTTGTTTCTCGGGCACGGCCAGCCGGCTGCTGTAGTGGGAGAGGAGCTTCTCCTGCAGCGTGAGGCAGCGCGGAGGGCTGGATTCGACCTGAGGAGTTTCCAGAGGGGCAAAGCAGCTCCTGGGCTCTGTGAGAAGGAGATGGGGCAGAGGGGAGGGAGAAGTCACAGCTCAGAGCAGATCGTCTGCAACCTACAGCAGCAGCTTCTGCTGCAGCCAAGGGGGAGGCGCGAGCTGGGTGCCCAGCTCCCAGCCCACCACTCTGGACATGAGGCTGACCGTGCCGAGAGGGGCACCACCGAGTCTGCTGACCTTCACAGTGCTCCTCAGCCCAGGCAGAGCCCAAACTAACCTTCAAACCCGCCAGTGCCCAGCCTTATCCCCCAGCTAGAGGTGGGTAAAGCAGGCTGAGCACCAGCAGCTGGGCAAGGGACTCACTGCCACTGACATGGCTCAGGCAGACCCAGCCTGCCCCAATATCTGCGCCTGATCACCTGAGTCTTGTGAACGACCCTGCTCCAGGCCCAGTATCTCAGGACCTGCCCTGCACCGAGCTGGGCTGCTTTCCCACTTGGAAAAACGCCGTCTTTGTAGGCAGCCGGACAAGGCAGCCTTTGTCC